AATGTAAGCAGTATTTTGACAAATTATTGGATTTCAGAAAGCTGTGTTAACAATGGGTGCCACATTCGCTAACAATGGAACAAAAACACATTCCAAAGCGACTTTTCTCAACATTTAGCATTTTCGAAAATACAAAATGGATTTTGTGTATCAATTCATTCCTATGGATGAGACTTGGGTCTATCATCATGTTCCTGGATTAAAATAAAAGGCTAAGGAGTGGTGAGCACCTGGTTTTTCGGCTAAGAAACGAGTTCGTGTCCAGAAATCGGCCAAGATGTTAGTGTATAACGTAATAATTTTGTTTGTGAATTACTTTCAAATACATTGGTAAAATTGGTAAAACAATAAATTCTGAATATTATTGTAACCTTTTAAACTAGTTTAAAATAAAAATTCGTCAAAAAAAAAGATCGTTTTAGCAGAAGAAAAAAATACTTGTGTCACAGATTTGGCCACTAGCCAGTTTGATTTGTTTCAATACATAAAAATGTATGCGTGGAAAGCGTATTTCATCAAATGATGAGGTTATAATAGCTATGGAAGCGTATTTTGCAGCTCTTTCAGATTTTTACTGCAGTGATGGAATTCTTAAATTGGAATGTCGTTGTAATAAATGTATCGATGTTCGAGGAGATTATACTAAGTAATAAAGTGTATTTTAAACCATAAAATTGTGTTTTTCTTATGGAACCGCAAAACTTATTGAACGGCCTATTTTAATTTTTCACTTCAACCTGAATTGGTATTGTATTCATAGTACAGAAATATTTAGATATGTTTACCCTAGTTCGACTCTTGTCTTCCATTTCAAAAGTGCATTCTTATTTCTGTTATCTCTCAGTTCTGTTAAAAGTTTTAATCTTCTTCTTAGGGTGCCTGTCCGTTCCGAACGTTGACGATCATTCTGGCTATGATGATTTTGTTGGTTGCTATACGAAATAGCTGTGTTGGGTCTTTCTATACCATGCTCTCATGTTAGCAAGCCAGGATATTCTTCTTCGTCCTGGGGCTCTTTTTTCCTTCACTTTTACCCTGCAAAAAGCATTGGAGTAGCTCCTATCTGCCTTGATTTCTCATTATATGTCCCAAGTACTCCAGCTAACGACTCTTCACTTGTTATTGGAAATTTGATTTAATTTTTAGTTTTTTTACAGTAAAGTTAATGTAGTAATTTTTTTAAAGAATGTTTATTTGACTTTAATTGAAAATGCCAAAAAGATATTACCTATTTCGATGAAACGTGGTACAACGCATATAATGTTGTTAACATACAATGTTGGAATGATAATTCTAATGGTATAAAATGTCACTAAATGAAAAATAATTGTAATTAACTACATAGTGGAATTAATACGGCTTTATCATTAATGTATATATGCAAAAATATAGTTACATTTTCCAAAGGCTATCTATGGTCTTATTTGATAGATATGTAGAAACGTATAGAAGCATTATTACCGATTACTACACTTCACTCAAAAAAAGAGTAACATTAAGTAGTCAATACTATTCAAATTGACTAATTGGAAAAAATATTGAACATCGTCAATACCGTTCATACCAAACGTATTCGTTTATGATCTTGCTGTGTATTTAATTTAATTGAATCAAGTTTGGATCATTTAACCCAAAGAATAAATCTGATCAGGGAAATTATATTGGAAATATTGCAAAAATTAGATGGTCATACAACTGTTTTCATTATATTTAAAATTCATGTATATTGACTTGAAAATATGACTTTCCATTTGGTTATTCTTATTATATTGAAGGAGCTAGTTCTGCCAGATGTGTATTTTAATTATAAGCCATTTTTCCATTCATTCTGAATAATACAATCGTTTTACATTTCTTTACCTGTACCACAGCCACCTTTACTTTCCTGTACCAAGTGTTGTCACAAGTTTTTCTGAAAACAGGCGACAATTTATTTCGAAGCGCTGGAAGAGCGAACAACTTGTTTTGGATTTGGTACATTTTGAAATACTCATATTGGCGACTGCTGTTTTTCAGGTCATTATGTACAGATCTATGATTCGCTACCTGTTACAATATTATACACATCTCTTAAAGTACAGCCATTGTATTTTATTAAACATTTCTTTGCACCAAGTAATACGAACATTGTTTTTGTCCTGTAATATGGTAGTCGATGAGAACAAAGAACTTTTAGGGCTGATCCATCATGCAATATTTTATTATGCCAGTAGAATTAATACCTAAGCTTGTTTCAATTCCACAATATATCACACGGCGATATTACATTATTATTTTTTACACAGAATCAATGTTTCTGACACAGCTTATTTTTAATGACATTCACGATTTTCAATCGTGAGTGAACAGCGAACAAGATTAAATTTGATAGACCAGCATTTCAACGTGAAAGTGATAAGTATCGTTAAAAGTAGAAGTTATATAATGAATGAACTCCAGCTATGATAATCTACTTAAAAATCAACAAATTATTACATAAAAATTATGTTGAATTAATTAAATTAAAAATGAAATATGTTAAAGGTCCAATAACAAAATAGTGTGTAAAAAACGTATCCAATTATGAGCAATTATTTTAGCTTACTTTTTGTATTTCCTGTCAGGATACACTACTTAACTCTGACACAAAGTCTTAACACCTTTGTCATGTGCACCAAGTCCTTTTATTAAACTCCTCCAAAACGCTACGTTTTGTAGATAAAAACCATCAACTATTTCATGGACACTTTAAGAATCTCTTGGTTAAAAGATGCAGGTTCCAATTTTATTATTTGTCTCCTTATATTGCATATATTGCATCTTTAGCGTACCTATCTTCGGACCGAATGGTTTTAACTTCGGTCCCATATGTAGAAATGATTGTCACAGGCTTTGGTTCATTAGATTCCTCCGCCTTCTTAGATTTCTTTTCATCTAACTACGTAAAACTAGCAGATCGAGTTGATAGTACTGGAAGTTAAGTACTTGTATCTCTGATTCCTTGCCCCACTAAAATACTCACTTATAGTCCTCTATCGGTGGTAGGCTTGGAGCCTAGGACTGCCCAGTGCTCCACTCTAAGCCCTTTATTTTATTTACAAACACAAATTAATGTCACCTTCAGATCCTCACTTCCTGGACTCTTTCCTGGAAAGGCTCCTTTCATATATGGGAGCACATGTAGCTTTATCCTTAAGTTTTATTATAGCATCTTTTATGGAGACTGTTTCATTACATATAATTTTAACAGAGTAAAGATTCTGATGTTTTGTGTAACGCCGAGAATTTTTTATGAAAATCATGCTCTAATGTTTTGTTCTGTCCCGATGCTGTGGGAAGTCTTCTTTATAATACTGAACGTGCTAGTTGTAAGTAGTTTTCTTAGTTTAGGGGTTCATTCTAAAGTACTCATTATATTATTTTCATATTTATTGGTTTGATTATTATGGTCCCATGAGTTTAGGGAGTTATGGTCCTAACCTACTGTCTACCATACTGCCAAAATGTTTGTGCTATTCGGATTATTATTTACCGAATTAAGGTCGATTCAGACACATCACTCACGTCTCGTCACCATCTCGTCACAGTGATTGCGCCGAATCGAACAATCCGTCATACAAAATATTCTTTAATACAAATATGGCGCCGACATTCACACTCATCAGTTGACGAACAGTTTGCCAGCTGTCAGATAGTTGATAGTTCTGAGACCAAACAGGACCGGTTCGGTACCGTGACTGTAACGTGACTGATGTGTCTGAATCGACCTTTACAGTGTTTGACGTGTCGTTAGTTTTGTGATTTTTATAAAAAATGGATTTAAAGCAATTTTGTGTACTCATTTATCACTGTTATTTGATAGGAGAAAATACCGTCCATATTTAACAATGACTTAAAAGGTGTTACCAAAACTCTACTCCGTCGATTACAACTATTAAACGATGGTTTGCTGAATTGAATTTGGTCATACCGACACCAATGATCCAGTTATTCCCGAAAGCATCGAAAAAATGCTGGAAGTTATTATGGAAAACCGCAAAGTGAATTTGCAAGAGATAGCTGATACTCTAAAGTTATCAAAGGGTAGCATTTTGATTATTATACATGAACTTCTGGATATGAGCAAGCTGTTCTTCAAATAGTCGCCACGTTTTCTCACACCAGAGTTGAAACAACAACTGGATTGATGAATCTCGGCGCTGTTTGGACATGTTTAATCGGAATAAGTCGGAGTTTTGCCATCGGTTTGCAACAATAAATGAAACATGGATTCATCACTTTACTCCGAAACCAAATCGGCAGTCATCTGAGTGAACAGCACCCAGAGAAATCGGACCAAACCGCCGGGAAGATTATGGCCTCTGTATGTTAATACCCACAAGGAATTATTTTTTTTGACTACTTGAAACAATCAACAGCGACTACTATATTTATTGGTTTATTGGAGTATTTGAAGACCGAAATCACAAAAAAGAGGTCCCATTTGTGTAAGACAAAATTGTTGTTTCACCAAGACAATGCACCGAGTTACAAGTCGATGAAAACGATGGCAAAATGCACGAATTGAGCTTTGAATTGTTTCTGCACCCACCGTATAGTCCAGACCTGGGCCCAAGCGATTACTATATTTTTAGATAAAAAAAATGGTGCATGGTAGGAGATATCGCTCCGATGTGGAAATAATCACCGAAACTGAAGCCTGTTTTGAAGGTAAAGATAAATCGTTTTACGAGGGTGGTACCCAAAAGTTATAAAGGCGAATAAGTTGGGCCCAGGACTTATTGGTGTTAATATATTGTTAATGTTTTTTATACTTTTTTTATATCGTTATAATTATATTTCGTTCATTCTTTTTAAGTATATATTTTTGTTAATCTTTTTTATCACTATTATATATCATTTTTTAATTTTTGTTTTGACTATTGGTCAACTATTATTATATTCCTATTCACACAGAACAGGCCTAAAACGTTAATATTTTACATTTTCTTCTTTCATAAAATTCCATAACACACTCAACTAAAACATGCTTGACTATCGTGACACCTATTGTCAAATATTTGTTGTGTAAAAATTGCATTATTTTCTTATATATCTGGAATTTACAATGGGCATTGACCACGACTCAATTTTACGAGCTGGAAAACCGGCAGATTTTTCGTTCAGGAAACTAACACATATTGATGTTCCAAGATTTTTAGAAAGTAAGTCCGTGTTTTCTATTTATTATATATAAATATTCCATACTTACTTAAATGGATTTCTACTTCAAAAATATTTCTAAAATAGTATGTTATCTTAAATGCCTTTCTATATTGTAGAATTCAATACAATTAATTTATCTCTTTTGTAATTCACGCCAAGTCTATTACTTTCGAGGGTCTGTATGACTCTTTGGAAAAAAATTAACTAATTTATGTACCTTTTTAATTATTACTCACATTTTGCTGCTAGGAAATGTGTAAAAGTTAGATAGTTTTCCAAAAAACAATGTTGTTCTTGCAAAAACAAAATTTTATTTCTTAATGTTTATAAATTTTGTCTGTATATATATATGTATATATATATATAGATAGATATATATATATATATATATATATATATATATATATATATATACAGTGGAATATATAGTGAAGCAATGTCTCAAAGGGACATAGCGGCAGTGGTAAGCGTAACACACGGCGTTGTATTAACGTAGTTAGAAGAGTCACAAGAATTTCTCACCCACAGCTCCAAAGGCAACTTTTGGAAGCTACAGGTTAAGTGTTTCAGTTAAAACGATAAGAAAAAACTTCATATCTAAGGACTATACAGCAGTAGACGATTATGGGTTTCCGAGTTATCCAGGCAGCTCAAGATGGATCGCCTAAATTAGTGTTATCATTAATTTTATTATCATAAGAATTTAATTCTTATGCATGATAATGCACCTCCACATATTAGCAGAGTGGCTACGGACGTCCTTAAAGCAAAACATATCACTCTTATGAGTGGCCTGCTTGCTCACCCGAACTTAATCCTATAGAGCAATTGTTGAATATGCTAAAAAAATTAGAGCTCAAAAAATTCACTTGAAATAATAAGAAATATCAGATGGTTCCATATTATTAAAAGTTTGGTTATGTATTGTTATGATATGTAAAATCGAGAAAAATATTGGTTTGTTTAAAATATTTCAAAGTTCAAAAACTTTAAAATAATTTAGATAAGTAGGATAATAACCAACAAACATTTCGAAGAAGGAAAGTCTTTAAATTTTTGGATTACCTGTATTAAACAAAATGTAAGCTATGCATAAATTATTTTCTTTGTTATAATATACTTGAGTGACCCGCATAATTTTAAGTGAAATCCAAAGACAATTGAACCGGGTTTTCCAAATACATTAATGCAGTGATTAAGGACAATAGAATAGATTTTAGAAAGAGGTTTTTGTTAGTTTTTAAGAATTGTAGAAAAATATTATTTGTAAATAAGTTTTAGGAAATTTTATAATTATAGGTAAATATTTGTTTGTTATCGAAATGAAAAAATGGGAGAATTGTGACGAGCTTTGATTGGCGGAGATTAAAAAAGGTGGGATAGGTATGTAGGAATGAAAGTTTAGCTCGATTTTGGAGAAAAAAAAAGATAATCAGTTGGTTTCCAAGGGTGCAAGGCGAACGGCCGTTGTTTCTCGGGTAGTTTCCCAGAGGTAGAAAGCAGTAGCAGTGAAAGTTTGTGAGTTTTCGTGTAGTTAGTGTATCTGACAGAAGCTGATCCAGTAAAAGATTGTAAGTCATATTTTTCTACTTATACTCCAAGAGTCATTTTTCACTCAGGCCAACGAGAGATTCAGTTTATTGAGAGAAGAAGAAGCTAGCATAATTTGAACGATTCGTGCATTTGAAGGAGATCATTAAGGACGATAAACTTGCAATAATTTGTTGTAAGATTGCTGATTACCTAGGGAGCGCCTGAGAGTAGATAATATAGTCTACAAGGAACAAGGATTTGGACCACTCATCATCAGAGAGAGATATTTTTGTTTTCTGCAGTTTTTCTTTATTGATAACACAATTTTTACACTTAATTTAGAAAGGATATAAATATTTTGATTAGGAGAGTTAGAATAATTTGGGATTTTGAGATTTCAATTAATATTGTTTGTACCATTAATTTTGAAGGTTCACGTACGTAGAACAAAATTTTGAAAATCATTATATGAGATTTTGTTTATTGAAAACATTTGAGTGTGAATTATTTCATTATTTTTATTTCAATATATAGTGTTATATCATATGTGTTTTTTATTATTCCGGTATTCTTTGGACCTTACCTTTCACATGTAATAGCATAGATATTGAAGCACGAATTTAACCCTGAGATAAGAGAATTAAAAAGTGTGATAGAGTCATAATCATATCATTTAAATAATTTTAATTAATTAATTAATTAATTAATTGGCTAATTAATTGCTTGGCGCACCAAGACTTAAATATCACAATAGTATATATAAATAATTTATACGTTTTATCTAAATCTAACATCATAATTTTCTATGTTTTTATTGTTTTCAATATTAGATGATATTATGCTTTGATACAAAATTAAGCTATATATTTATCTTTTCAGCTTTTTTGTTTTCATGTAAAATCTAAGCAATATTTTTGATATTATAGCTGTTGGTCTCGAGGGAGCACGTTTTACAAGAGTCGCAGGAGTTCCAGAGAGAGCTGAGTCAAAGAAATTTCTTACTAGATCCATTTGGCTTAACAACAACCAATTACGAAATATAACCAATATGGATACTTTGGCTGAGGCTGTTTTAGAATACCCTGCTCAGCTCGGATGGATAGATTTCTCCTACAACCGAATAACCGAAATAGATGAGGTATATACTACAAAATTAAAACATATAAGTGTAGTTTAGAATATAAATAGATTTAGAAAGTTGTTGACTTTATTAAGAGATCATCAGATTATAATTAATAAGAGTTTAGTTAAATTTTATATATTTTCAAGAGGCCCAACTAAAATGCTATGGACGGAGACATGGTTAGATTGAAAGTTATTTAAAATCTTTAATAAAAGGTACTTATATAATTTAAAATCGCTTTCGGGTTACATCACAGAACGTTTCAGGGCTAAAAAGCCCATCATCAGTGTTTTGTTACCTGGAATAAGAATTTCCACTTAATTTAAAGCAAACTTAAGGTAAAATTTTGACTAAGTTTAAAAAAGCAACGTGGTTAAATACTTACCAGATACACATGAGTCAAACCAATAAATACCTTTGTAAAACCCCTTTAAACGGTACAACATTTAATATTTTATTTAAAAATATGTTGTGATGTTTGAGTATTTCTCAGATAACCTGCATGTCAACGTAAGACTCCCACTAAGACTCCACTCTGACCCTCAGAAGGTGTCTGAATGGGTTCTAGATGGCAACTAATTAAAATGACACTTTTAGTAAATCTCCGATTAATTACTATGATTTATTCTTTTGAATCGTAAGTGCTTCGGTAAAGCACTAATGATGTCCTCACATGTTAATGTAAAGTTACGTTCCACATAACTGATTGAGTTATGTTAATATTTTTTTGAATTACCGCTCTGTTACTTGTAGCTTTATTAAATGTCATTTTTGATCGGGTGCTAATTGGGTAAGTTGTTAATACACACCTTCAAATAATTAACATCTTGACAAGCCTCTTTTTAATAAAAATGGTGAAGTGTTCCCTTGGTATCTCGTTGGTAATACAAAATAAATTCTCATTTACTACATTATAATAACGTTGTTGAATATTGCTAATAAAAGTCAACTATAAAACGTAATAATGTTAATTATTAAAAGAAGAAGAAAGTTTTCTGTTTCTTACACTTCACTTTTTATAATTCTGTTTTTTACAAATTGTATATATGAAAACTGACTTAGTTCTGTTTTTCTTACAAAAAAACTTAACGTTTTTTAATCCGTATGGTTTACAAGTGTACAAGTGTATATGCATACCTTTTGTAAGGTAAACCAGGTGAAATCTTTATGGATAAATTTTTATCTCATTTAACTAATTTTAGATGATCTGGTGATGTGTATGGATTCATATACGAAACGTCATCAATAAAAGAGCGAAGTAGCTGGTATCCTTTCTTTTATTTCCCAACTTTTGACCGAAAACCCTCCACTATGACAGTGGACTATATTTAGTATATAATAGGGTAGTTGGGGGCAAAAACACGCAGTTTCGTTATCTCCTGTCGTGTTCAAAAATTATACCAGTTTAGAACTTTTACAATGTGATTAAGAGAGAGCTTACATATTTTTTCCATTTAAGTATCGACAGTAGTAGTATAAGTTCACTAATAAATGAAAAAAAAGTTTTTTAAAAAATCTTCATTGGCGTACTCTTGCCCCTACAAATGGGGCAGTAGTACGCAAGTGCGAATTTTTGCCCCAAAACTAAAATGTATAAAACCCCAAATAAAAGAGATGGTAGGCGTTTAAAAAAACAACTTTTATTGAAAAAACCCAAACTTAAAATACAAAATGTTAATCTAAAATGACAAAGTCATCAGGTAAAATATTTGGTACAACATCAATGTCTTGCTCTTCATCGTTATCGAAAAAATGAATATCACAAGAATCGATACTTTCTTGATAGGAGAGTGCTACTGATCCATCAGATAATGATTCGCCGAAAACTTTCCTTTTGTCAGCACGAACGGACTTTGAGATTTGATTTTTTTATTTTTCAGTAATACTTTCCCCTCATTTTTTTTGCTTTCTTCTTTTCTTCTTGTTCTTCCAAATGTCGCTCCCTATTAGGTGTCGATGTAAGTAGGGTTGACTTCAAACTTTTCCTGGTTCGTTTCCTTTTTATCTTAATTTTTGGGAAGGGAATAATGTCTGAAGGTGAAATTACTGATTGCTCTGATTTTCAATAAAAATTTCTTTTTCAATATTTAAAGGACCAGAGACAATAACTCTGACTTCCGGTTTTGTGGCCGGCTGGGGCTCTATCGCATCAGTACCAAGTTCTTCTTCTTGCTGAAACTGGATAAACACATTACCTTTATCGTCTGAATCTTCACCTAAATGAAAGAAAAGAGACCAGCCACATGGTAAATGGAGATAAATCTGTCTTGGATGGGTTCTGGTCCAGCTTTCAGTAATGCTCTCATAATAAGCTTTTAATGGTTTGAAAAATGCTCGATCGAGTGGCTGGGTCTTATGGCCGCTATGTGGTGACAAAATAAATGGATAAAAGTATCTTTTGCAAATATTACTGCTTAAAAACTTGTGTGCGATACATGATTATCTAAAATCAGAAGAACAAGGTTCTCTTCTGTTGGACTTGTATGTTTTTTAAAATGCTTCAGGTACTTGATAAACATGAGAGTGTTCATGTAACTACTATCAGTAACAGCCATGTCGCAAGCAGTGGGCCCTTCTTTGGTTAGAATAAGATTTATCCGGTTTCGAGGAAATAAGAAAAATGGAGGGACATGGCTACCAGTTGCACTCATACAGTAAACAGCTGTAATTGTTTGTTTTTGCTCGGCAGCTACTGCTTTTGCTACATCTCTCTTTCCAACTGGGGCAGATGGTTTGAATGCCCGCTTGTCTGAATGCCCGTTTTTTTTTTTCGACCTTATAGATACGGTTGGGAGGTAACTTATATTTTTTATAGTGTTCTCCAAAATTTTACAATACTGAGCTAGTTGGAGCTCTACTGAAGCCCATGGTTCTAGTAATACTTGTTTTGCGTAGAACTCGTAAAAATAGTCGGTTCCTTTACATGGAAGATCTAGTAAAATCCCGATCAGGCATCTGATTTATAGGTGAAAATGGATGCTTAATCCGGTTTCTTACACAATAAGAGTAAATTAAAAAACGCAATGACTTCAGCGTCATTTCATACAATCTTTTGTCGAATTCTTTGCAATGCTGAGCTATTTCGTTTTCTTGGATCTTGGTTAGAACTGCTTTAAATCTGCCTAAAAACTGGACACCATTTCCTTATATGTGTGAATATATACAGAAATCAAAACTTACAAAGTTATGAATATTGTGCTTATGGTCCAAATGTGTTAGAGGAAAATATATTAGAATCACACTGCACATGCAAATATACAGGTGCAAAATTATCTAATAAATTAATAATTTTGGGAATATGCTACTTGGTTGACAAATTCCGAAACAAGACGATTTTTATTTTTAAATTATAATTTTTGCCCTATATATCATAATAGTAACGTTTTTCATATGGATAGGATGACATAATCGATAATTTTTTTTAAAGGGATTAGTGGTCGCGGGATAGCTCATTTGTAAGATTATTTAATTATATATTCCGCGATATCTTATATACTAAAACGCTAAGCCCTTTTCTTGTCCACCACTTTACTCAAAAACCATATTAGATAATTAAAGTATGTTTTCGGAATATTATTAGTATTACGTATGAGATTGTCAAGATATACTTCTGGTACAAAAATTCACTTCCGGTTTTGAGATGACCGGAAGTTAAAAATTTACTTTAAGTTTTAGACCCCACAATGTATATATGGATCGAAAGGTCTCGTCGAGACGAATCTAAATATGTACTTCCGGTTGCGATCTGACACCGGATTCATGATTAGCATGCAAAATTAGCTGCTAAATGATATCCATGTCGACATTTGATGAACTAAAAATTGCATTCCGGTTTTGAGGTCGACTTCCGGTTTCGTTTTTATTAAAAAGTGAAAAGTAAAAGTTTACATAACTCCCGGTGCCAAGCAAAAGTTTTCAGAAAATGGAGACATTGTAACAAAAAACATTGTTTTCGATGAAATATTTCGTGATATTTAATACACTTTTTACTTGCATTATTATTGATGAATGTTATGTATATTCTTGCTTATATTATTTGTATTGATCTCTTAATTTTTCTCGCAAAATAAAAATTTCATTTAAAAAACTCGAGTTGGTCCGGATGTCGAGTTGGTCCGCTAGTAAACAATATTATAATTAAAAAACTTTAACATCAAAGTAAAAAATTTCTGTTGTAATTGATATAGGTATATTTAATTAAAAAATTAAATTAAAACTACAAATGGATTATGTACAATATAATATTATTTTTTAAAACCTACACTTATCCATAAGAAGTTAGTACCAAATCTTCATTATGAACGGAATGCCCATGTTTATTTATTTGATGCTTACAGTTCAGGTTTTTTAGTTCTAAAGCAATACACAATGCATTTTATAAATTGATAGCATGCATTAAATTTTAAACATTTATGTTTTAGTGTATAACAAAATTTAAAGATTTGAAGATTGTTTACTTTCATGGTAACTGCATCTCCGAATTGGACGAAATAAAAAAACTGAAGTCATTGATAAATCTTAGAAGTGTAACATTTCATGGAAATCCTATAGCTAATCATCCGCAATATAGGAGTTTTGTAATTGCAATTTTGCCTCAGGTAAAAAGTATTAAGAAATGTAAATAATAATTGCGAACATTGTTTTTTCGATGTTAAAACTTTTTCGAAAGTTTTAAACGGTGTTTTTTGGTAGTCCGTCAATGAACCGGGATTATGTAGTAAATAATTTTATTATTTTTTAAAACCTTGTATACATTAATAGAAAATAAGAGAATATCTTCTAACACGAAATCCGTTAACTGATTCCCGTTGTTATTTATGCATTGTTGGACTCGAGTCAGAAAGCTTTGCATAACTCTTTGTAGCATATCGACTCATGGTTTTACATATCCCCACAAAAAGAAGTCACAGACAGTTACATCAAAAGACTTAGGAGGCCAAGGACTTTTTATTTGCTTGCTTGTCAAACGCTTTCGACATTAGCAGGGGTTCGAACTGTTTTTTTTTACTTTTTAATCGCGTATTAAGATCTTAAAACTACGATCATCAGGCAATGACGTCATATAAAACCAGACTTCAACCATTCCTCAGGTATTTCACCAGTAGTATACACATCATCAAAAAGTTTAACTAGAGTACTGATGTGCTCTTGTATCATTTTTAAGAGTTCAGCTTGGATATTGTCTGCTCCAGCTGTTTTCTTAATTTTGAATAATTGTGTTGCATGAAAAAATTCAGATTTTAAAATTTCGGTTCCTTCTTGATTTACACTGATCTGTATATTTGGCCTGTCTTATTATTTGTCTTCTTTTTAAGTGTCTTCTCCTTTAAGAAGGTTGGCTATCATTACGGCTATCTTCAGCTTTTATACTGCTGCCCAAAACAGCTCAACAGAGTTACAATTGTAGCATTGTTCCAAATTGTTTAGCCAGGATATTCGTCGTCGGTATATGCTTCTTCCGTCCAGTATTTTTTCCCTATATAATGATCTACACCAACGGATATCTCTCCCCTCTCACGACATGACACATATACTGCAATTTTCTTATTTTAACTGTATTTAATATCTCCTTTTTCTTATTAATTTTTTTTTAAAACGTCGTTATTCGTAATCTTATCGACCCAACTAATTTTTAAAATTCTTCTATAAGCCCAGATCTCAAACGCTTATATTCTGGTACTTATATCCTTTTTTAGCGTCCAAGCCTCCATTCCATATAATATCACAGAAAATATATAACATCTTTTGAATAACCATTAGAACAAAACTATTCAAAGCATGAGTGACTACTTGTATTAGGGGTAACTAAAACTGAGCACCTGAAGAGTAGTGAACCTGTTTAATATTATAGTGTAAGGATATATAAATACTATTTTGACTTTTATAACTTTGCTAAAGAAACCAAATACAAATCGATATAGTTAATTATACAGAAATAAATTTGATTAGCTCCCCGTTGTGAAGCTGTTTCTAAAAATCACTTACTTAGATTTACTATAAAAGAGAGACAAAATGGAAGATGCACAGATTTCGGTATGCAATTTAAAGAAAAATAACAAAACCATTTAAAATTATAAATCTTGAATATTATTTTTCTAACGTGAGACACAGGATAACACATTAATTAACTGTTATTTGTACTAACTACTAACATACACATTTTTGCAAAAATTTTTTTCTTTTCTTCCTATTATTGAATGTGGCGCATTGTGTACATGAAATATTATTTAATAAAAAAAATAATTTGAAAATATGGCTAGAAGCCTTCTGATTATCCCAGATTTAGCCATACGGCTCACACTCCCTCTAAGGGGAAAATTCACTCATCCCAGATACCTACGGTATCAAAAGGATTGAGCTCTGGTGGGACTCTTTCCGTGTTATCGAGCTCTAGGTAACTTGGTATGTTAGAGTATCTCCCAGAAATGTTCGTACACATCTGGACGTCGCGAGGAGTACAGCTTTCTGCATGGCCTTATAAAGATGTTCATTAAGACCCAGCTGTTTTATGTTCGCTAGGAGGTTTTTGGGAATAACAAAAGTAGTAGATAGAACAATAGGTACTGTCTGGGTACTTTCCATTCTCCATTGTCTCTTGATTTGTATTTCCAGATCTCTATACTTGGCGATCTTTTCGTTATATTTAACAAGCAAATTGTTAGTGTTAGGTATCGCCACATCAATAAGTGTTGTTTGCCTGGTAATTTTATTCACTAGTATGAGATCCGGTCTATTATGGGCCACTGGTTGGTCTGTGAGTACAGTGCGGTCCCAGTATAGCTTGTAGTTGTCATTTTCAAGCATTTTCAAGCATTCTGCGAGCCTTTTGATTATTATTATTATTTTATTATTGTTTAAACCATTTTGAATAAACACTTGTTCTATACTATAATTACCATTACATATTTTAGCTAGCAAACCTCGATTTTACTCCAATTATACCGAATGAGAAGAAATTTGTACAACCTGTGGATCTGATGAAGAAAAAAGAAAGAAAGATAGAAAAATGATCTATATATTTTATATTCTACTTTAACCTATTATAAAATTTATATGTATAAAATGTTTAATATCATGTATCAAAAATTAATAATTTCATATGTATATAATATTGCACAATTAAATTATAAATGTTTAATTATTTTATTTTTATTTTAAATTACGCAGTGAATCAAACGATAGAAATGGACAGAGAATTCTTAAATTAAATTTAGTCAAATTACTGATGTATTAATAATAAGTAAAGACGCTTTAGGAACGATATAAGAAAGATATACTTTTTTATTAGAAAAAATAAATGCTAAGATTATATAGACTTTATAATAGACAGAACATTTAGATTTGGTAGAAATCATTAAAACAGAAAACAGTGCCGAAATTAGAACACAGCACAGATTAATCAAAGAATGTTTAACAAATATACCTACATCAAACCGTACTATTAATAAAAAAAACGTTATGAACAAATAGAGATGTATAAACTAGGAAATAAATAGATAAAGGAGAAATATTAGCAAACAACAAATAAAGAAACTCACAGACGTGTTTAATAGCTAGTCTAATTACACCTGGTTTTTTGCGATATTATTTGTATCCAGTTGATAAAATTGAAATAAAGTGTAGTGTTACTATAAAAATAAATTTGAACTACTTGGAGAAAAACTGTAAGTAGTATTTATTATAATATAATTAGAGATACTTATATCAAAACAAGTTCCTGGTACCGAATTGATCAACTACACAACTTTAAGTACCTCATTACCGATTCTGTTGTTATGGAAACAGGACCGTCTGAAGAATAGAGGTGCCAAAATATGAATAATATTTTTAAAAATGGATGAAGATTCTGTTGGTTCTGTTTCTTCTCCTAACAACAATCAACCATGTTCATATTCCAACGCTGTTACTTTATTTAAATATCCAACCAAAAACCAAGCCACTGTCCTATCTGCTCTCAATGGAATAAAAATAAACGAATATGTGATAGCAATAAGAAATATAGTAAAACCAGAAAATATATTATTTGCATCCCGCATCTCAAATAACAGAATTTGTATTTACCTCTCCAATACCGAAGTCGTCACATTGCTGAAGACACATATATCAATATCCATTAATGATTCAGTAGTTGAAGTAAGACGTCTAATTACTCCTGATACAAGACTGGTCATCTCAAATGTTTGTCCCACCATACCAAACTCAGTACTTGAAGTTGAGCTTAAAAAATTAGGACTTAATACTGTATCCCAGATGACTTTTCTGCGAGTTGGAATGCTGGACACTGCCTATAACCACGTTTTAAGCTTTCGAAGATAAATTTTGATCACTCCTTTTGAAAATATCACTATCCCAGATTTCATTACAATATCTTTCGACAACACCAACTATCGAATTTATCTATCCACTGACTGAAATTGCCTTAAGTGTATGTCAAAAGGTCATCGCGAAACAGACTGCCCTGTTCTATCACAATTGACATCAACTGAAACACCCATTGAATCTTAATCTACAATATCACTCCCGTCTAAACCTCAAAATCTTACAACAGAAGCAGGAAATCCTATTAATAATACCACTAACTTTGAAATAACAGCAGAAGATATTCACAACGAGACGACTAAAAATAACAATCCTATTACTTTGAACACTGATGCCTTCCATCAAAAAACAAAGAGACAAATATCTACTGACTCTCCTGAGATACATGAAACGCCACCCGATCCAACAATTTTTACCAAACTCAAAAATACGGTTAAGCGGTCAAAATCATCACCATCTGATATCCTCGAATCACTTGAACCTATTAAAGGTAAAATCGAATCTAAATACCCGACATTTCCTCTTAAATTTACAGTTCTTTGTGACGCGATATGTAACGCATTAAACTCAAAATATCCTACCCCCATAGTAGAAAATTACACAAACGATATGGTTTCTTTTAAAGAGATATTTCTATTTGCCCACGACCATATTCCTGATCGCAAAATAAAAAATAAACTAACAAGACTTTGAAAAAAGATACAATACTCAGTTACCCATTCATCCTCGGATATTGAAAGCGATAACTCCCTTTCCCACGTTGTAAAATAAAATGGATAACACATTCATGTTACAGTGGAATCTTAATGGTTATTTTAATAATTTAGAATTCCTTAATCTACTTATAAACGATCTTTCTCCTTTTATAATATGTTTACAGGAAACCCACCTTAAAACTAATACCTTGAATATCAAAAAATTATTCCCATTTCTTTAAAAATCGAGACGCAACATATGCTAGTGGAGGTGTTGGTATTTTTGTAAAAAATCACATTCAGATCAAAGAAATTAGCTACATACTAATCTAGAAGCTGTAGCTGTATCAGTGTCATGCAATATCAACTGCAAAAACATCAATATTTGCAATATTTATCTACCGCATCCTAACGAAACCACACTAAAAGATCTCCAGTATCTAATGAATCAAATTCCCAATCCCAAATTAATAGTAAGTGATATGAATTGTCACAATATCGCGTAGGGTAGCAACTAAACAGATAAAAATGGTAGATTGCTCATGGATATTATAGATATCCAAAATTTAATACTCATGAATACTGGTAAGCCTACATATTTCAGCTCTCCGAATGGTACTTCCTCCGCCATAAATATATCTCTATGTGAGCCCTTATTATCAACCTCCTTCGTTTGGAATAGTCTAGATTATCTTTATAATAGTGATCACTATCCTATAATAATGGAAACCACTAAAACCGACACACCAAACACATCTATCTATCAAAAATGGAAAGTAGATTTAGCCGATTGGGAACTATATCAACATCTTGTAAGCAAATTACATCTTGGACTATACTCCAGAAGAAAATATAGATACTAACATACAATATTTTAATGATATCATTATAAAAGCTGCTAATATATCTATAGGAAAAACCAAATTATGTAAAAGAAAACCGGTTCCATGGTGGAACCAAGAGATAGTTGCTGCTATGAAAGCTAGCAAGAATGCATTTAATATTCTAAAAAAACATAAAACTTCTGAGAATCTTCTTAATTTTAAAACTTTGAGAGATAAAACTAAATATCTTATTAAAAAAGTAAAAAAGAAACCTGGATGCGATATATTTCATCAATTAATTCATTCAACTCCAATGCCAGTTATTAGGAACAAGGTACGCACTCTAAAAGGAGAACATAATATAACTCAAATTAGTACCTAGCTAAATGGCAATAATTTAATAACATCTAAACAAGCAATCTGTAATACATTGGCAAAAGTATATAAAACAAATTCTAGCAATACAAATTTTAATCCTGAATTTTTAAATTTTAAATGTGAGAGTGAAAAAGAAAATATCCGAATAATAGACAATAATGATCAATTAAATTTGCCTATCACATACCAAGAGTTTGAAGAGGCTTTGCAAAAATAAAAGAATACTTCTCCATGCCCTGATAATATTCCAATTATTACTAATCCTTCTAGATATACTTAATCGGATTTTCATTAAAAAAACCTTTCCTATAATCTGGTGTCAATCTATAATCGTCCTCATTTTAAAAGCATATAAAACAAAAACTGACCCCTCTTCTTACCGACCAATTTCTCTTACGAATAATATTTGTAAATTACTTGAAAAAATCTTAAATAATAGATTAGTTTGGTTTCTAGAGAAAAACCAGCTACTGACCTCCATCCAAAATGGATTTAGAAAGGAAAGATAGACAAATGACAATCTAATATCTTAATATCTCGTAAATGATATATGTGAATATTTTAGAAACAATCAACAAGTAATTTCCATATTTTTCGATATAAAAAAAGCCTTTGATACTGCATGGCGACATCGTATTCTGAAAATAATGGTTAGCTGCGGCATACAAGGAAACTTTCTAGCCTTTGTTAAAAATTTTATGAGTAACAGAACATTTCAAGTTCGTGTTAATGGCATCAATTCAAAGACTGAGCACTTACAAAATGGGATTCCACAAGGTTCCACTCTAAGCCCTACACTTTTCTTATTAGCTATTAATAATATTGCACAAGAATATGGTCCCACAAAAGTGGTTTTACCTTTTCAAGTGAAAAGACCAATTTTATTATCTTTAGTAAAAATAAAACCAATAGCAAACCTACCCTAATTCTAAATGATATTAACATAAAACGAATAGATTCAACAGACTTTCTAGGATTGAGATTCGAGAGTCATTGGAAATGGACAGACAATATTAAAAAATTAGCCTTATCCTGTCAGCCAAAAATAAACCTCCTTAAAATACTTTCTAACAGAAATTGGGGTGCTGATACAACTACTCTGCTATATTTATATAAATCACTCATCCGTAGTAAATTAGATTACGGTGCAATGTGCTATTCTACTGCTAGTAAAAAAATTCTTAAAGTCTTAGACGTTATCCAAAGTGCATCTTTGAGACTTGTGCTGGGTGTCTTCCATACTAGTCCTGTGGCAAGTTTTCAAGCTGCACTAAATGAACCACCTTTGTTTATAAGAAAACAATATACCACACTATGATATGCTGCTAAACTATATAGCAATATTAACAACCGCAACTACCTACTCCTACATACAAATAACATCCTTTACAAAAGTAACAGACAATCAAGATATATATATATATATATATATATATATATATATATATATATATATATATATATATATATATATATAGCGAGTGTTTGCAACTTTAATTTTGTCGCTTCTCGCATCCCAATCGCCATAATTTCTTATCGGCCCAGTCTCCTTCTTGAAGACCTCTATTTTCCATTTCTATATGAATATTGGATATCCATTTCTTTCTTGGCCTTCCCCTTTTATTTCTCTGTGTAGGTCTCCAGTTCCAAACCTTTCGTGGTATCCTTTCTTCGTTCATCCGTCTCAGGTGTCCATACCATTTTAATTGTTTTTCGGCTATCGTATCCATTATTGTGTTCTTTACTTTCATTCTCTCTCTTATGTTTTCATTTCTTATGTGGTCAAACAAAGTTAACCCGGAACATCTTCTCCAGTACATCATTTCCGTTGAGAGGAGTTTTTGTGACATATTCTTGTTAAAGACCCACACTTCTGACCCATACGTCAGCACCGGCTGAATCATAGCCT